TACTTAGCTGACGGAGTGGGGGCTCTTGCAAAACAAAAAGAAAAAACACAGTGCACACATAAATGGAGTGACTGTGCTCTTGGGCGCTGGCATTTGCTGTTTTCAGACAGGGACAAGGACAGAGACAAAGGCAGGAACTCAGACCGATAAAGTTTAGCTACCAGCTTCAGCATAGCTGTCACACCAAACCTCCCTCTTAAAACTTGCATCAGAAAATCGTAAAAATACACTCAATTACATGCAAGAAAACTGGCTAGTTTGCAAACACAACACGTACTTCAAAAGCAGCACATGTGAGTTTCCACCCAGGGTGCCGAAATTTCAATACGCACAAGATCAGAATCCCCCCGCTGGGACCAATCCAAGCAGTTATGATCTTTGACCTCTTACAGGTCCCCAACACCCTGACCATCTAAGCACTGGTCTGAGATTAGGCAGCACGCACACGCACCATCAGTGTTATATGGAGCACGCCACCGCCCCCCCCCCCACATCTTACATGCACACGCTCAGTAAGGATGCTCACACAGGTGTAACAGTGGACGTGAGGCAGGCAACCACAGAACGCTTTCAGAAACTGACCACATGCTGTTAATTAAATACACTCAGTTTGCCCTGCAACTGGTGAAATTGATAGCTGGGATAGAAATAAAGACAGATTACAATAAACAGCACTAATGTATGTTTAATAAATATTTCCAAGTATTATATTTGTTTTGAGAAAACATTGATAATACATTTAATATTTTGTTGAGGAATGTTGACATTTCCCTTTAAATAAATTCTATAGGTTTTAAATTTTAATTTCATTGCTGTTTTTGGATTACAACTCATCTAGGGCAACTTTTCAATACATTTTAAAATCTATTTATGTTTAAGCTGTTTTATAGCATCTCAATAAACTTCTCCAAACATGCTTCCATATACTAAAATGGAAAACTTAATTTAAAATATATTCCCCAAAATCTGGTGTCCCCCTAAAAGATGCAACTGGACCTATGATAGACATTAAAAAGTGAATATCAGGTACAGGTACAGAATTACATGGTGCAGGGGTAGGAATCCTGGGGTCGGGGGGGGAGGAATCCTGGGGTCGGATGCACCGACCCTGCTGCAGCCAGTGGGGAGGGGGAGGCGGGGCTACTTTACCTTCAGAGACACAGCATGGGCAGAAGGAGAAAGGTCTTCGGCNCCTGGGGTCGGGGGGGGTTTCTGGGGGGGCTCCGATGCACCGACCCTGCTGCAGCCAGTGGGGAGGGGGAGGCGGGGCTACTTTACCTTCAGAGACACAGCATGGGCAGAAGGAGAAAGGTCTTCGGCGAGGGATCCGAAGTGGGGGCTCGACTTCCATAATACAGGGAATAGGGAGCGGGGGAGGTGCGTGGAGCCGACAGGGAAACGGAGAGAGAGAGGGAGACGGCAACGCACGGAGGTGGAACGCACAGGACACGGGACGGGCGAGGGCGACAGAGGGAGGGAGAGATGTGAGAGAGAGATGAGGAAAACTGTGAGGGGGCATGGGAGTGGCGAAAATAAAGGGGGAGGTCGGAATACCACTGGGAAAGTGCAGTGTTCCCAGCACAGTGAGAGTGATCTGAAGGAAACAGGGTGTGGAAAACAGAGGCCTGGGAAAATGAGTGCCAGGGTGAAAACTTCACCTGCAGGGCTGATCTTTAAAATGAGTTATGCCAGAGTGTCATAGTATTTCTAGTATAAATCCATTTGTATTTTTATTGTACATTACTCTGCCTAGCCAAACATTAACAGAAGTACCGTTACTGTCAAGTAAGCGTAGAACAAATAAAAGTAGAAAAAAAAAGACGGCAGAGGTATAGAACGAAATGTATGGATATCTGAAAGAGAGGTATAGCAGTAATATTGACAGCATAGGCCAGTGAATCAGCCAATGAGAAAGTACGAGGAGTGAGGGTCTCTGAGCAATCACAAGGGACTATCACAGAGGATGGGACTGGGGAGGACTGGATAGGCGCTTTACAAGTGAAAACACTCACACACACGGCAGACCGGCTCATCAACCACACACAGCCATATACAATACTCATTTTATGGAGCTTTTAAAACATCTTTTAGCAACAATGTATTACGACTTACAAAAGGCTTATGTTAAGAAGAGGATTTAAATTGCATAACACAACTCAGAGAGCTAGCATTCTCTAATCATATCCAAGATTGCGTAGGACTATAGAGGAATACGAGTCAGGAATTTTACTTTCATACAGCACTGAAACCGAACAGCCAAAGAGTTTCTTAGAGCCGTCACGATTACTTGATTAAACTCGATTACTCGATTATTTTAAAGCACCGACTAAAATTTTCCTTCTTGATTACTTGGCAATATGACGAAAGGAAAATGGCGAATAGTGGAAAATAAAGAGCTAAAGCTTCAGTCATGTGGAAGCTCGTCACATAAAAAGTGAATGAAAATGCAGTTCTGTCAATATCACAGTGCAGAAATTAAACATCACCACAGCACGACTAACACAAGTACGTTTTAAAATAAGACATTCTGGTTTGATGAACTCGCCCAATAATGTGAGTTTACATGTCTCATTTAGTCTCAGGAGTAGCCTAGCCTGTCTCTGTCATCATTTTGATTTACATTATTTTCCTTAATTTACTTTCTACGATTCATGTATGTCTAATGTCTGTATGACTAATCGCTGCTAAAATGAAGCTTGACCCTGTCGCTGAAGCACATCATTTTACATAATATGGCACATATTAGCCATATATTATTACATTTTTCTTGTGGGTAGGGCTGGACAATATTGGAAAAACTTCACATTGCGATATTCCAGTTTTTCAGGCTCTCGATACGTGAGTTTTTGCCATATTTAGGAGTTTATTTTTAATATAAACTAAATAATGTTAAAAAGGAACCATCATTAAAATTGCAAAGCTTGCCAAGTTTTGTTTCCTATGACAGAGTGAAAATGTTTTAGGGCAACTTATAGATGGTTTGAACCCAGCAGACTAATGTGGTCCTTGAAGTGTGACAACTGCATTTGCATGAAACGGCATGCCAATATTAACGTTGTACAGGCCTATCTAGGGTAGCACAGTGGGTACCACTGTCACCACACTGCCCCTTTTAGTGTGCTGTCAATTCTCAGAAGAGCCACCCTGCTACCACACCGCTGGATCCTACAGTTTCAGACTGCAGTGTAGAAAGAAACTGGCCATCACTACATTTCTATCTCTAGTACTAAGCACGCTCCCATTCCAGTTCCTCTTCAGCAATACAGGGCTGGTTTATGCGGCGTGTTCCCGCAGTCTGACACAAGGGGTGACTGTAGAACCGGCAAACGGAATATGCAGTGTGCAGACAGGCTTCGCAGTTCTGACGCCCTCTTTGTAGCACAGGATATACCAGAGACAGAAAGCCAGACATAGGGATCGGGATTGGGGCACCAGACAAACACACCTGAACACACACGGCTTTGAATGCAACTGAGCAGATATGAAGAAATCAAGAGGATTAGGGCAGCAGCTACAAAAGCAGAGCACTAAGGAGTACAAGGGTTACTGAGAGTCTCTAAATGGGGCAGGAGGGGGGGGGCTGTAGGAGCATTGTCTACAGGGGAGGGAAGTGGTCAGGTGGGTCCTTTTAGGGTTGTACTCCACTTTCCAGTTCTTATGTGTAATTAACTGCCACACAAATTCAAAAATGAAATTCACACACCCAGCCATCAAGAGGATGTAGATGGGAAATTTCCTTCAGCCAAATCACAAGCTCTGAAAAGAGCAATGTGCTGGTTACTTCAGTAACCATTTTCTCCCACAAAAGATTTCACTATTTTCACTTAGACCAATGGTTCTCAATTCCGTTCCTGGCGCCCCCCCCCCTGCCAGAATGTTTTCGTTCCAACCCTACCTTAATAGGCTAAAGCTGGTTACAGAACAAATGCGGCAGGCCCTTTGCGCGCCCCATTCAAAAAAACTGCAGTCCCCGCTCAACGCGCCGTGCTCGCGCGGGGCTTCTACGCAAAGAGTAGGCGTGGTTTTCAAAACTCTCCTGTCATTTCGGCTCGCGGTCAGTAGCGTATATTTTGCATTCAAAAAGATTCTACGCTTATGTGATATATTGTCCGTGTCTGAGTTCCCAGAGCTATAAGTTTTCCCTCTATTTCGATTTCGGTGCCTTGTTTCTATTGATCGCGCGACTGCGTCACAGCGCTAAGCGGTCAAAGTTCAACAAAGTTCATCTTTGACCACAGAGCTCGCACAAGCTCCGCGAGCAGCGCGCAGCACGGAGCACAGTGTAGTGCTCGCCGAGTTCGGTCAGAAACCGGCTTTAGCCTATTAAGGACCATCTGAGCCTGATTAAGGTAGGCTTGGAATGAAAACATTCTGGCAGGGGGGGGTCGCCAGGAATGGAATTGAGAACCACTGACTTAGACAAATATATCTCACTATAGCAATTTGGGCAAAGTACCCAAATTAAAGGTGACTTGAACGGGCAACTTTAAAAGTCCATGAGCCACCTAGGACAATGCTTCAGTGAATCAATCCATTCATCACATAAAGAGAACCAAAAAAAAATCTTCAGCTAAGCCAGGTGAACACGCTGCAGGCATGTGAACACAGATTGCTATAGCCCACCCTGTTATCTGTGTTTTGAACTGGAAAGTGCAGCGATGCCAGTAGCTACAGAGAACACAGGTACAGTGAAGGGAGGAGCAAGGGGGGGGATTAGCCATTAGTCGGGGGGAGCGACAGCTTGGAAATACATACCGCCCAGGTGCAAGTCCAGGATTTCACTGTAATTAGACTCTCCCCAATAGTCTATAATGAGGATATATTAGAGACAGTTACTGCAGGCAGCCCTTGAGGCTGCACAACCTGCAATAAGTCAGGCATGCACTGGCAAACGTACCCAGCACACACAACACACTGTCGACATGCCAGACTACACGCACACAAAGACTGTGGCTTTGCGTGACTGCTGTGCACTGCACCCGCACACAACTGCGTGTGAATGCCATCTATTTGATTCTCTAAGCAGCCTAGTTCATTAGACCGAGACTGGTCTCACTGGGTATTACTGGATACCAGTAACGTGCCTGTAACTGGCACAAGGCTGGCATTCACACTAACAGCAGCATTTAGGTGCATGCACAGCTGGAACCTCTAAGAGAAAAGCGCTGTGGATACAGGACATCTGTGCAGAGCATCTCTGGATGGTTGGGTGGTATCTGTCCGAATATTTACATATTAATCCTCACAAACACCACTGAGCTGTGCACATAATAAACGCACCAACTTTGTCTGTAAAACTCCAGCTGTGAAGACAACGTTTGAGCCACGTGAAGCAGGACTTCCAAAGTACAGCAACACAGATTGGTTTTAGACCGCTCTCTCCGCAATCAAAGGCATGCAGCTCGGAGATCAAGAGGAAGACATGATGGGGGGCAATGGCTGGACAGGGGATGACCCTGCATCACCACTACAAACGGTACGAAAAACTCCAACCAGCTTTAGTACCTGATCGCCTTTTGTGTTGTTTTGGACTAACATAAGACCATCTACACATCCCTTTAAGAGAGTAAACGATAGAGGTTAAAGGCATCTTCACATTTCATATTGCATTCAGCTGGACAGCAGATCAATCATACAGGTAAACAGAAGGGCTTCTCAGAACATCCAATGGGCAAATCTGTTTGTGTTCCATTTCACTGATTCATCTTTTGGCTCCAAAAGTACTTGCAGAATACATATAGCAATAACAAGGCCCATCATCCCAAACTGACCAGCTGAGGATAAAACCAAAATCAGGAGTGTGTTGAGAGACGTTTTGTTCAGTGCTGTGGATAACATCACCCCCTTCTGCAAACTGAAGCCTATTAAACTGGAAGCAGCTTTATAAAAGATCACAGATCTATTCCATAGCAATAGATCAGACAAAATGTCCTGCCCTTGGCATTTAAGACACAAGGATTCTTACATACATTTCCATCTGATTTTGAACAGTTACATATTCTTTTTCTAAAACCCTAAAAAACACCAAGGTAACGTTTTAACATTTACTTTGAGAACTGTGTACACCTTATATGTCTGTGATAGTCCCTTGTCTTATAGGCTTTAGAGGATGTGTGCTTCTTACGAAGCACATGTATGAGGGAACCATTGAAGAACAGGACCACTGATGACTAGGCAGCCCAGCGAGCAGGGGCTCTGCCGGTGAGGCCTATGCGATCATTAACTCTCGTCGGACCCTGACCCCAATGGGAGGTAGACATAGGAGCAGAGAGGTACCTGCTTCCCCCCGCAAAGCCTTCTCTACAGCCACCCCCCTCTCCTCCAGCTGCCTCTGCTTCTCCTCCACCTGCTCCAGCTGCCTTTGGATGATCTGAGGGGATCAAGACCAGGCATGTGCATTAGCCAGGCTGACTTCGCCAGACAGTGGTTAGAGGATACTAACCTTCATCATTCTTTCATCACGACCAGCAACACCATCATGATCATCACCAACACCATCACCACCAATGCCATCGTTTTCAGGTGCAAGATGGTAAGTACCTGGGCTCGGTGCAGCCTCTTTAGCTCCTCTTGCTTGGCCTGCCTGCGGGCGGCCTTCTGCACCCTCCTTGTCAGCTTGGCATTCAGCTCCTCCTCCGTGTAGGTTCTCTGAAATGGCATTCCACACAAATTGAATAGATGGCCATTGGTGCTCTGCAGCCATTTGCTAAAGGGACCACTTCTGGTGGTTGGGGATGAACCTACTTCAATATTACGCTACCAAAAGCTGAACATTAAGAACTTAAAAAAATGCAAATGTATAAATCAATGTCTGATTCAGACGCTTATACCACCATCAAGGTACCCCAAAATGCTACCAAAATTTTCATATTTTCTGAAATAAGGATCAGGTTGAAACAAACACAAGTAAGATTTAAGACTCAAAAACACCTGTTGGGAAAGCACAAGAGAGTAGACAGAGATTGGAAACAGGTGAATGTTAACAGCCCCTCAAGTCAGTTCACCAGCTCACAGCGAGAGTCTGAAGCCTAGGGAAAGCTCGAGAAATGTTATAAAGCGGCGCTGTCAGAAAGCACTGCGAGGAGAAGCAGCAGCAGTAGCTGCAGGACTCCAGGTGGGACGCAACTGCCACGGCGACGGCGCATGAGCCAAGGCAGAGCCCCGAAGCCTGCCAGCTAGGAACATGTCGGCCTCTGGCAGGCAAGGGGCATGCATCGGCAAAGACGAGGTTAGTACCAAAGCGGGTGACCGCGATGGATGGAGAGACGGCGCATGCGCGGGACAGCTGGACCGACGGCAGCGCGGACACTACCTTTATGGCGTACCCTCGCTTGAGTGCCAGGGCGTGAGGGACATTAACAGACTGGGAGAGACGGAACAAGAAAACGCACACAGGGGAAGACAGAACACAAAACAGATGGTGTGATTAAATGAGTTAATGTAAAATGTTAAATCAATCAGAAAAAACACAGTCAATCAGCACGTCCAGTCAATGCAAAGGTGAATCCTTTAAGTACACAGGTTGTTTTCTCAATGTCACAAATATTCCATCAGCTGAAAATCCTTGGTTATATATTGGTATCTGGGTAGGGATGCACATCTCCACAGGTCCAGAAATTTCAGAATGATGGACGTAGCTGTGTTTCTTGTTAAAACTGAATCACAATTTTAAACCAGCAAAACACATAAAGAACACCATTTTTAAATCAATTACCCAGCAAGACTAAGAAAATAAAAGATCTAGACAAACATCCATCCATCTATGGAGGATCTCCTGATAAATTAAATTTGTGTCAAAACTGACATGTGACCAGCACTTCCTCATTCAGTGTGTCATCCATTTAGTGGCAAACTACCACGGCAATTAGAGAGCAACCCTGTGGAGATACTGTCTAACCAAAGAACAAGGAAAATCACTTCATACTGTTGGATTTTCTCTCTCCATCCCCTCGACTTCTGCTATACTTCAGTAAAAAAAGAATGAGGCTCAAGCCTTGAAGTTGTCAGGCAAGGCAGAAGCGGGGTGACTGCAGTCAGAAACACAGTCACAAGTCACTCATATAATAAAGCTCCTTGCCTTTGCCTTTGTAGTCATATACAACCGGAAGCACTTTTATAAAAGAAAACAAAAAAAAAAACAGGAGAATTAACCTATCTGCAACAACAACAACAACAAATACTTTATTGATCCCTATGGGGAAATTCTCTTTATGTCTCCCCCCAATTGCCCTCCATAGGTGAGATCAAGCTGGCCTTGATAGGCAGCCACCTGTTGTGGTGCCCAGGGAGCTGGGGGTTAAGGGCCTTGCTCAAGGACCCACAGATGTGTTGAGGCCAGGCTTGAACCAGTGACCATCTGATCACAAGCACAGAGGCTTAGCCCACTGAACTGCAAACTGCCTTCAACAAGAAATATTACTGCAAAGAAAACCATGTTAGCTTGGGGAGCTGAGATAAGGTTGCTTGCAAAGAATTTTTACTGTGTTGCTTCAAGCAATCCCAGCCAGGGTGGTGAGCTCCTTTTTGGGTAGGGCATTATCTTTCTTTGATGTACTATGGTCATTGTTGTCAAGATGTCTAGAATTGATAACTGTCCCCAAAGTCGTAGGTTGCCCTCCAGACACGACAGTGGTTTCCATCTGGTTTTCTCCCTTGAGAACTTATGAGCTTAACAGCTACCCTTGGAGCTACGTTCTGCTTAAGGAAAATCTAACATTCTAATGAAAACTGAAGAACTGCACCATCAAGTATGATTATGTAGCTAAACAATAAAATACATTTGTCTGTATTGGGAGAGGACTGATTGTCAAGACCCTGAGAGACATCAATTTTAATAATGGATGAAATAGTCTAGCAAGGTGTAGTACATGCAATAAATGAGCAGGAACTCACATCTGCCTTAGATCTCTGGGAAGACTTCTCCAACACATCATCACAAGACAGGTCAGAGTCTTCTGAGAAGCTCAGGTTTCTTCTCAACTGGACATCTGCACCAATGTAAAACCACACTTGCGTAACAGAATACGCACCTCAATAGCATATTTAGAGAATTCCAGTATAAACCTGCATGAGACAATGTCCTTACCCGATGCCCTGTTGAGAGGGGAGGTTCTCTTCTTTTCAGAATCCACTGCTGAAGCACTGGAAGGTGTGCTGGGCAAAGACTTGTCATCTTTCTTTCTCTTTTCTTTCTTGTACCCTGAGAAGACAGTCTTCCAGATAGATTTGTGCTTGGGCAAATCTTCCTGGCTGTGTTTGTCAGGGGATCGGCCTTCACTCTTAGCCTTCTTCTCTTTCTTGCTTTTGCGGGGGGAGAAGATAGAGCTGCGTTTCTTGACTTTACCCCCTGCTGAGCCGTCTGAAGAGGCTGCAGATCCCTCAACACTCTGGTTCCCATCCTGGGTCTGGTTGCCACAGCTACTGGAGAGTCTCGCTGGCAAAGTATCTGCAAACCTTTGGGAATCAAGGACCTTGGCTTCCATCACATTAGGAGGACTCAATACCACAGATGTGTACTCTGTTTTCCCTTCTGAGTCAGAGGACACATTCCAAGCTGCTTTTGACGATTCCTTCGGAGAATCCATTTCCTTCATCTTAGTGAGGTGCATTGCCATGGCATCCTTAAGAGCCTGGCTTTTAATGTTTTTCTCCCTAGCCCGCATTCGCTCTTCCGCAATCCCCTTAGCTTCAGGAGAGAATTCCGAAATGTCTCTGTGTCTCTTGGGAATGCTGGGTGTGCCATTCTCCATACCCAGTTCCAGGTTCATAGGTGGCCTCTCCTTCTGGGGCCTGCTAGTGGGTGGAGTGTAGAACTTTTCTTTCTGGCTTGTGTTAGGCGTACGGGCATCCGATGGGTCCTCCACATCATCAGCGAACGGAATCTCCTCCGCACTCTCCAAAGACTTGCGCTTAGTGTTCTCTCGTCTGACAACTGCTGATATTGGTTTTGTTCTGAGAGCTGGTACAGGCATAGCTGTAGGCTTAAAGTCCTCATGGGCTGGAGATGGAACTGGGGGTTTATCTGGGCCTGGTGACGGGCCAGGGGTTTGTGGGGATCTTGTGATTGGTTCGGCAGGCTCAGACGGATTGTTCCAGCCAACCTGGTGCTTTTTGTGTCTGAGGGTGGCCGGCTCCTCATTGGGTGGAGGAGGGGGTGGACTGGAAGGGGGAGTCAGCATAGCAGAATCAGAAGTATTTAATGTCTGGCTGGTAGTTATGCTGCCATTGAGGTCCAGACCAGAGCTGCTACTAAGGTCCCTCTTGACAGAGCCAATGGTCTTAGGCTCCTTGTCAACAGGTGAGACGACCTGTCCCTCTACAGTAATGTTGAACCTATGGATGGGAGAACAGCTACCAAACAGTGGTTTTGATTCATCTGGTACCTCGTCTGGAGTGTGTAACCTGGATGAGAGCAAGTCGAAGGGGACTGAGAAACGCTTCTGTGGACCCCTGCTTCTTTCTAAAGGAGTGAGCCCCAAACTCTTCCTGATCTCGGCACTCTTCATCCAAAACTCCTCAATAATGTCTGACCTTTTGACAGGACTAGCCGTGGTATTGGGCAAACTTGGCTCCTGAGCCTTTTCCTTTGGGGATGAGGGCAGTGGTGTGGAGGCAATAGTAGGTACTGGCTGAGTCCGCACGGGGGAGTCTTCAGATAGTGTCCTGACAGACTCATCTATGGGCAGGGGCTGAGAGCAGATAGGGGAGAGGGGATTCCCAGCTGGAGAACATGCAAAAAACTGTTGTTTGGTTGGCGATTTTGTAGTGACAGCGTCCAGAAGCGGCTCTAACTGCGAGTGGATGGGGGACCCAGGGACAACAGGAGATGCAGGGGACTGCAGAGGAGAGACTGGGCTCTTTGCGCTTGTGTCTGGAACGTACACATCCGGTTTAGTGGTATCCTCAACATACGGCTCAGGGAAAAAACGCATACTGGAAGATTTTGCCAGTGAGTAAGGTGACTGAAATTCTTGGATGGTCTGGAAGAGAACACCATGGTTTCATTAGACATGCTCAAAAACTACCATCTTTCAGAAAGCCAAAAATATAGCTTAGCTTGAAACCGCTGTACATACCTCCAACTGAGGTTCCACGACTACATCATCACCATCCGTTTGCATTGGACCAACAGAGGATTGTACTAAAGACACAAGAAACAAAATGACAAATTCTGCAACTAGTTAAACATTTGGCAGAATATCACGAGTCAGAAGTTGTAAGGGTTTTGTTAAAAAAAAAGGTCAAATTTGTAAGAGTCCACTTCTGGAAAAAAAAATCACAAATAAGTCCATGCAAACTCACCAAGACTGGAGACCCGACCGTGGCTGACAGATTTCTCCTCATCCTCCTGCAGTGGATCTCCAGCTTCCAACTGGTGTAGACGTGCCTCTGCCTCTGCATCTGAGGGAATATCATCTGAAAGCAGAGCACTTTGTTACCATCTCATATTGGGGAAGATGGGGAGCCTTCAAGCCAGTGTTCTGCTACCCAATTCTCAGGGACCTCCAGACAGTTCACATTTTTGCTCCCTCCCAGCCCCTAGCACACCTGAAATAGACAATGATGAACGAACCAAACAACCAAGAATACTGAACTCCTGCACTCTATAATTTTTTTTTTTTTTAAATGTTGGCTCAACTAAAAAAAAAAACAAAAACATGCAAATTGTTATTTTAAGTTAATCCGGTTTCAATTACTGAGTAAACTAAGTATTTTAAAGTTAGACTAAGTTAAATATTTAAGTACAGCCAAAACTATCTGCCTTTACTTCTACAAATCTAACTAAGCTAAAACAACTTGCATCACTAGAACTTTAGACATGGATAATATGTCCTCATTATTTAAACTTATCTGTTCAACCATCTTTATTTTGCTTCCATCTTGTGGCCACTCTCTATCAAATGTGCTACCACACTTTTGATACCAGAAGGTGTTGGTTTATCATGATCCAAAAAAAAAGAAAACGATAGTGGTGCTGAAAAACTAGAAGAGTTTAGAACTAGGAGTTTGTGCTTGGCGTTTATTGAGGAGCACAGATCCTCAATAAACGCCAAGAGGTCGGATGCTGGATTGTACATAGACGGTGTGTAGTTTATACAACGCTAAAGATTTGGGAGGATCGGACAGGGTTCACATAAGACATGGGCAAACACACAGGACAATTGGGAGGTGCAACGAATATTAACATTATTAACATTATTACTTATTAGCCTCTGGTTTTGATAATGTCCCAGCATGTTCAGCGCATCTTCCTGGCACTACAATATTATAGGGCTGGACGATGTGCGATAATATTCATTCACCATTGTTTTCTGAGCTTGCAACTTTTTTCCAAGACTGTGGTTGTATTGCGTTTTAGAGGCAGGCTATTTGCATAACTAAATGATGTTTAAAGTCCCACCCCGAAGTACCAAAAAAGTACTCCAATTGGTTTGGCACTTTATACTAAATACTAGAACTTTTGGTACTGGTACTTGACGGGAAGTCAATGGAAAAGTACGAAAAGTACCATATCAAAAGTAGCCTATGGTACCTAGTTCAGTAGAAAAGCTTCTGCACAGATGAAACTCACTTCCAGAAGTCGCAGTAACTTAACATTTTTCAGATGTTAAGTGAGGGCAAAAAAACATTTGTTCAAAATATACATACAACTAAGTTCAGAGTGTCCTCTATTTTTAATTTTGACCAACATATAAAAATAAGTTGTTAACTAAAGTGGAAACGTGTAACAAATGTAAAGTTTTATGCTGAGAATCTTCTTTATTGTTAGTGTTACTTACTAAACCCTTGAACCATCTTTTAGAGTGTGGTACAAGTGTGATGGGAGCTGGGAGCGGGGAGGGAGTAAAAATGAGACTCTGGGGGTTTCTGAGGACTGGCTAGTGAAACACCGGCCTAAAGGCTCCCCACCTTCATCAGCACAAGGTCTGGGTTGAGAAAAACCACTTGAAGCTAAAATGCTGCAATCTTCAACATATCAAGCTGACTCCATTAACTGAGTTTTAGAAAGAAAGAAAGAAAAAAAAAGAAAAAAAAAAAAAGTACAGAGGAGGACAGGAGTAAAACTCAACTTGACCTCCCTCACTGCCAACACCCACCCTCAAATATGTCAAGGCCCTCATCCCCATTCAGGCTCTTGGCTTCCTCTTCCAGGGCATCCTCATAGGCATCTAGGGTGATAGGAGGAAGGGCAACAGTGTAAGGGCAGTGCCTGAGACCTCATCTCCACCAGAGATCATAGGGTGAACTGGAGTACTGCTCACTTTATAGTTCCAACTACTAGTTGGGTCACATGGGTAAGTGAGATTAGGAGAGAAACACCAAAAAGGTCAGGAAGATGGAGAAAGAAACAAAAGACTAAAACGAACAGATATGAAAACTGCTAGCTAAACGAGCAAAATCCAATACAGGGAAATTTAGTGCATACATTTATATATAACTAAGCAATTCTTTGGCAGTTATTTTTGCCATTCAGGTTTATATGAATTTTAGACATTAGAGACATGCACATCCTTTTCAGCACAAAAATGGATAAGCTTGCAAAATAATGGGGTTAGGGCAAGTGCACGCAAACAAAGCCTCGTCTATTTGCCAATATCAGCTGCATCAGAAAACTAATCCAAGTGCAGAAAACACACACTCCCATCAGCTTACCCACATCACCATGCAAAGCGGTTAAAATCATGGCCGACTGGCAGTTTGCTACATAACGTAGATATCTAGATGCTTTTTTTTCCCCCATTCAGAGGAGCCCTGATCACTCTGTGCATCTGTGAGGCCAGGGGGCCACCAGGGCTTTGTCACAGCTGGTTACCCAGCACTCCTGCCCGGTCAGCTGACAGAAGCAGAATCACAATCATCCTCCCATCCAATTGGGTTCACCCCTCCTCCCTGTCAGCTGCATTCTTGGCAGCCACAGGCCGGCTGCAAGTGCAGCAGAGCTGACCAGTGAGCATTGAGAAGGGGATTATAAAACTGGGTCAAAAAAAAAAAAAAGACTAGGGGGATTCCACACCATGAGCTTGGAAACAGGCCACGTGAAATGAACAGAACAAAGGCCAACTCAAGATTAAGTCATTCCATCTGACTGCCAGACTAATAGTTTTGGTTGTGTCTTTCCAAGCAAAACAGGGCTGAACCAAAGCAAACCCGGCTGGGCTTGTCTGGACATCAGCAGTAGCTGTAAGGGTGGCGATATAGTGAAACATAAGAGTATCGGAGATGAAAACATCCGTCCATCCATCTTCTGTAACTGCTTATCCTATGCAGGGTTGCGGGGGTCTGGAGCCTATCCCAGAAGCACCAACCCATCCCAGGACACACACACTACTCACACACATTCACAACTACAGACAATTTTGCCAACTCCAATTCACCTTGGCGTGTTGTAGGGCTGTGGGCGGAAACCTGAGAACCACAGAGGAAGCCCCATTGCAACATGGGGACAACAGGCAAACTCCACACACACGGAGCCATGAGCCCCAGAGGTGCGAGTCATAATTAACTTACGCATTACCTACATTGTAAGTAGCTAAAATGAAAAGGTCAAAGTAGTTTATTAATACTGCTACTCTCTAATAATTAACCTCAGAACACTCAACCTGGTAAGGACGGTGGTGTAGGCCAGCACATCTGGACCGGACCTCTCTCTCCAGGACATCTGACACTAGCTCATTCTGGGGGATCCCCAGATGTTCTCAAGCCAGACGGGAGACATAATCCTTCCAGTATGTCTCCAATCAGCTAGGGCCTCCTCCCACTGGGACAGGCTAAGCATGGCCCCTTGGTGGCTGGCTAAGTGGCATCCTTCTTCAATACCTAAACTGCCTCAGCAGACACCTCTCAATCCAAAGGAGCAGTGCCATTATTTCACAATCCGTCCAGATCTTTGAATTTCTCATCTTGACATAGAAGTGTACCCAGTAACCCTTGAAGAGAAACCTCACTTTGGCTGCTCAGTGAGGCCCAGCTAGCTTCAAAACAGAAACACAACTCTCAGTAAACGCCAGTACAGCCCAGCAGCAGGAAAATGACTCGTGACGTTTCCTGTATCAGGCAACGATCAGGATTAGCTTTATATATACACACATGCGTCATTCCATTTGCACATGCAAAGCCTGAGTTTGAGTGCTATGGTCCGTTGGGGGCCACATGACATGCTTAAGAACAAACCCAAAACGAGCAGGACCCGGGGCAGACCCGAGACCCGCAACATTTGGGCGTGGTGAGGTTGTGAGACTCGCATGCATGTGCTGCCATGCCCTCACAAAAAGCCAATGGGCCAGCAGAAGAAAGGCAAGCTGGACAGTGTGGGGCGGGGGTGCTGTCAGGTACACACAGCACTACCTCCAGGCAGGGAGTCCAACCACGCTCTCACGATCTCAAGACGGGCAGATGGGGGGGCGGGGGCTACATATGAACAAAACAAGGATGGAGGCGAAAATAAAACAAAACGTTATGAACAAAAATCTACCCAACAGGGGTAAAACAAACACGAGGAGGACTGGGAGATCTTCAAAAGGTCACGTACACACATGATCAAATAAAACAACAGAACAATAAACAATAAAAACACAGAAGCGGTGTGTCTGAGCGATGCCAGGGATGACAGACATGGGGTCCCACCGGGTCTCAGAGCCAGAACTCCAGGCTGCTAAGACTCAGCAGCTTTACCTTTGGAGAGCGACGGCCCAGAGGCCTCGGCTGAGGCCCCCCCTTGGGGGTCCTCAGCCTGGGCGTGGCCTGGACGGGTGTCGGCTAGAGGGTCGACGGGCTGCAGAGCTTGCTGGATGCGCAGGTTCCCGGCTGAAGGCAGTCACGGGCATTTTTGTGTGTTTGTTCACGCACGTAGAGGCGACCATTTGGACGTAGAGAAAGACCAAGAGACAGAGGCCATCCCCGGGAGAGGAAAAGGAGAGGAGAAAGGAATGGAGGAAAGACAGCATTAAAAGAAGTCAAAGCAAGAGATGTAACAGGAAAAGGTCACGGCTCCACAGGATAGAGGTGGTCTACATGCACCAGGCAGAAAACACGTTTTACACAAGATATCACAAAGGGGCAGGAGCAGGGCTACGCTCGTGTTCCTTAGTCCGGGGCGGCAATGCACAATTTATGAGCTGCAGGACGCTCACATGCAGGGAAGGAAAAGGGGTCTTCACACCAAGGCAGAAGCAGAAACACACAACAAGGTCCTCAACCAGGAAAAGCAAATGCCCCTATTTTTTAAAACTGTAAATCTGTAAATTACATTCTTTGTCTACAAATGAAGTATATAAGGTGTGACTCACATTACTTTATTGCCTGATGTCAATGAAAAATCAGCTTAAGCCAATAGACAATGAGTGTTATACTTTAAAAAAAAAAGGTAATTTCTCACTGTGTTAACCTGTAAGAAACTAGGTAAGACCGAGCAACATGTCCGCTTTATAAACAAAATTTTGTTAACCAAGCAGGGTGAATACCAAGGTTTAGCATGGCACACATAACTAAAAGTGCCTGGTTAGGGGGGGGGGCGGCATTAGGAACAGCTGGGCCATTTTAAACTGGAATGGAAAAGGTGAAAAGGCAAACAAACAGGGGGTTTATTCATGACAAGTTCCTTTGCTTGAGGTTACATCGAGGTGACAACACATCTATGACCAGTGCTACCTTTGAAAGTACCAGTGTCCTCTTCATCCACAAGGCTCTCAAGCCACAGGCCTGAGTGCAGCTCCATCTCCCAAGGGCAGTACTCCCCCTCTACCAGCAGGGGGAGACAGACCCCCAATAATGACCCAGACACGGCAGGCCATGAAGACCAGGTGAAGGACACATACATGAAGGAATAGAGAAGGATGGGGACAGTGGTGGGAAAAGGTAAGAGAATACAAAGCAAGCAGAGCAGAGGAAGCTCCAGTAAGCTGACGAGAAACAAACTCATCATAAAGCAGGACCAGTTTGCCAATAGTCACAGGTTCAGTACAAGGTAACTCTTATTGATTCAACACTGCATGAACTACACCAGCCATTATGGTGCATTAAATATAAATGATAAAATAATATAGAAAACAAAAATAATGAGCAGAACACAAATTATTCGTTAGTCCAATGGTAAGGCAGTCACGCTGTGACTAATGCTAAACTCCTCTAGAGGTCATGATAGGACGGGATGGCACAGGGTGGAAAACAGTGAGCACAGGGTTCTTGCAGGTTTCAGTAAGTTAAATTTAAGACCTTTTTAGACCATTATGAGTAAAATTTAAGACCAACACAATGCAGTACTAGAAACATTCAAATGATACCAGAAACTCTCATATTTTAAGTCACTCATATCCTTAGCCCAACATCCACATATCATATGTGTTTACAAAGTGTGTTTTAATAAGTTCACATGTGTTTAAAGCATGTGGGAGCGGTATTTTAAGGCTTAAACTACAAAAAGGTTTATGTATATGGTCTTTCTATATCACGGATTTTCACCTATCGCTGATGGGTCTGGAACGTAACTTCCGCGATAGGCAGGGGATCCAGACCCATCAGCCATAGGTGAAAATCCGCGATATAGAAAGACCATATACATAAACATTTTTATAGTTTAAGCCTTAAAATATATAGTGATCCCCCGCCTATCGTGGAATTTATGTTGCAGACTGATCAGCGATAAGGAAAACAACTGGAAACAGCTGATAAACACAGGGAATCCACACGGGGTTAACGAGGGGGCGTGGCACACGGGAGGAGCGGACGAGCGGGGCAGGACATACTGCACTTTTAATCAGATTTTTTAGATTTTCTAAGCAATTTTTATTCAAATAAGTTTTTTTTCCCATCTCTATTTTGCTTTTTTTTGTCTTGGTTTAACTTTTTAAAATCTTGTTTTTATAAAGAATATTAAATAACCGCTGTGTATGATAATAAAAACTTGCCTTGCCTTACCATAAGGAGACCGAGAAACGTTCTCCTCAAGACCACACGAACAACTAAAAACTATATGCTGGAAACTAAGACATTCACAAGGTAACTCCATGAAAAGCTCTGTAAAAGTAGAAATTTATTTTATGATAAGATAACCTGAGCCAACTGGCTAGTAGTTGCCTTTTAACTGAAAAAATTCACTCCAGTCATCAGAGAAAAAAAGTTACTAAACACACTAAATCAAAACATTTACATTGCAATAATGTATGGCATGAAATAAACTTGTAACTATATCATTCAGTAATACAAATAATAAAACAACATACCGTTCACATTGGCCTCAAGAACTAAGTTAGGGCTTGATTCCCTGATTCTTGATTCTTAAATTAAATTTAAGACATAGGATGAAAATCTGGGCATTTAAGAAATTTTAAGGCCTTAAATTTAACTTTCTGAATTTTAGACTTTTTAAGACCCCGCGGGAACCCTGGAGCAAAGCCCCGAGAAACTGGCTCTGACTGGAGGTGGGATAAGATGGGGGCGGAAGCAGCCAGGGGTAGGGCACTGCAGGGATGTTTGTACTCCATCTGGAGGATTAACAATCTGCACATCCGGACGCACTTCTGGGTCTGGACCGCAAGCTAATCTAGAGCAGATAGTTTATTTTTCAGGAAAGACAGTGACTGTAGATTAGCAAAATGAAATTTAAGATGGAATAATATGCATTTACCATCACTGGACTCCTCCTCAATATCCTCTTCCTCCTCCTGATCCTCCTCTCGGTCCCCCTTTGGCCCAGCCTCCCCCATGTCTGGTGGACCCACTTCAGCCAGGTTCTCCTCAGGTTGTGGGGTCTCTTCCCAGGCTGCCCGCTTCGAGCCCCGGGCACCGGGATGCTGCCCATGCTGCTCTGGCTCCTCCTCTTCCTCCTCCTCTCCCTCCATCTCTGACTCCGAGCTGCCATGGAGGAATGAGACACATTAGTTAGGAGAATTCTGAGATAGGAACAGGGAGTGGCCTGGGGGCGTGACGCACCTGGAGGCTTCCTCCGCGTCCGTGACCTTGTCCAGAGCACTGCTGAGGTTGTGCTCGGCCAGCGTCTCCTCTGGCACCTCCTCCAGCTCCTCCTCGCGCTGCAGGGACAGCCGGTAGTTCTCCAGCTCGATGCGCTCCGGTGTGCCACGTGGACGCTTGGCCAGGCCGGCCTCCAGGACACCGTTTACCTCTGCCACTGGGGAGGGAGGAGGTGATGGGAGTGTCGCGTGAAGGGGACAGAGACACTGAGGCTCAGGCTCACAGCACCGCAGGGCAGGCACACACGATCCCCATGAGGATGGAGAAGCCCAGGGAAAGAGAGAAAAGAAAGAAAAGAAAAAAAAAAAAAACACACCATCTGCACCACACTCGCTGTAATCACTGCCTCACAGTTAGGCTGAATTATCTTCAGGTTAGTCTTTCACACAGGATGCTGCCACCTGCTGGCGCAATTCAAAGTGGGGAGAAACAGAAATGCATTGTGGGACTGTGACCAGCCAAATGCTCCTTCTGTTTTGGAGCTTCATATGCAGTATAACAGCATATCACTGTCATGCTACTATTGTTTGCACAATTATTTGCTATCTATCTCAATTTGGCATTTTTGCACACTTCTGATGCTAGAAAAGCATCTGTCATAATACTGTATTAATTCAAACTAGTATTGTTACTGCTTTAGTCGACTGCACTGTATGTTGTCTTGTACTGTACTATTGTATTGTTGCCGTTGAGTTTCTTGCACACTTTCTCTCTTTGCTCTCTGTATAGTTCTGTCCTGCCTGTACTTGTGTAATATTGTGTTGTTTCTGTTGTTGTTCTTTGTGTTGCACCTTGACCCTGGAGGAACAATGTTTCCTTTCACTGCGTACTCTGTGTACGGCTGACCACACACTTATACAGTGCGGTGCCACACCCACCACAAGATGAATCACCTCAGGGATGAGAACCCGAGGGCAGCCGTGCAGCAGCTGATACCACAGCACCACACTAGTCTTAATAGGACAGTGAGAGTTTTTTACGGTGGCTGGAGTGCCAATCCTGCCACCAACCCCCAAATGTTTCCCTGTAAGTTGGAGGACCTGCTTGCAGGGCTGGGTGTAGGTTAACGTCATACCCAGGACAAAGCAGTGGGGGTTAAGGGCCTTGCTCGGGGGCCCAATGATGTAGAATCACTGCTGGCATTCACTGGAATCGAACCAGCAACCTTCCGATTGCCGGCGCAGATCCACCAATAAACAACAATAAACCTAATTGACTTGACTTGAAATATTTCAAAGACTGAAAACTGAAAATAAAAGATAAATATTTCTTGATGTTAGACAAATTTAACGCCACACAGAAAGGGAAGTCTAGTCACTTTTATTAAGATTTTTTCCAATACTCACAAAGAATATATTAATATGTAATATTTTATATTTTTACATAAATACAATCTTTAGTACCTTACCCTTCTCCCATCCTCGGAGCAACTCTTAAAATAACTTAACTGGAACTATGCGTTTCTGAGCCTGTCCTCTATCCCCCTACCAAACCAATCAAGAAGTTTTTTTCTTCTTTTTTTTTTACTTTGCCATCTGCAAACCTAACTCTAGTACCCGTCTGATTTCTAGCTCTTGGTCACCTCAGGAAATGGTCGAGATTGGTCAAGTCTAAGTGATGTGACCTACATTTAACAGAAATAACCTCATCAAACAGTTGATGAAAAATTAAGTGTTACCTTAGTGGAAGGTGCGAAAGACACGAGTGACTCACTACTATGCCACATTCAGGGAGTTTCAATTTAGTCCCGCAGTGAGCTAGCAGGTGTGAAGGGATGGGAAACAGCCCCCAAAGCATGCGGCCATGCAGCTGACCATGCGGCGCCAGCGCCCCTAAATGTGCAGCTCAGCGGGGGAAACACGCAACGCAGCCCACGCTGGCTTTGCACATCTAAAATTGTTTGCACCGAGCAAAAATAATTCATGCTAAGATTTGTAAGCTCCATGCATTTCATTTAGTCTACCCTACATTTATGATGAGATGATTAGATTATTCACAATACCTTTATATTTATCAGGAAATTAAAATTACTCTATAATAATACTACACAGTGGCAAGATGCTAAAAGATTAATCACTACGCACATGCAGTTTGCTAGCATGTTTGGCTCACTTATGCTAGTTAAATGCAGTACTGTTTATAGCCTAAGGCTTAATGGATTAGAGCAGAGAGGCAAGAGAGAAAGATAACCAGAGAACCAATAGCAAGCACTGGTAGAGGCGCCAGCTCAGAGCTGCTCTGACAGAAGGGGGGAAAGGTAAAGCTCACAGAAGGACCAATTATAAGCAGCGATACAGGCAATAGCTCTTAGTGAAGAGGGAGGGGTCAGTGTCACACAGAACTGCCAGCGGCTGCCTTAAGTTTACAAAGTAACTTTCAACAAAGGCAGCCAGGCACAATGCAGCCGTTTTTGATTAGCACGCACACATTTCACGAGATAAACCCCTATGATGGTGAGAGAAAGCAGCAGGCAGTGTTAACTGCTATAATATGAGCCCGAGGGGGCAGCACACACATTCGCTGCCCTGCACCAGCCGCAGCCTCCGAGGCGCAACCTTGGCCACATTCTGCCTGGCTGGCTTGTTTCACAGATGAATGTGTGAGCGAAGGTCTGAAGACGCAGCATTCTGAGGAGCCCCAGGCCACCACCATCGTGCGGCTTAATGCCGGATCGATATTTTGGCAGGCGGATGCGCCCTCTAGTTTCCGAAACCGTCAAAAAAGGGCAGAATGTTGCATCTGCAGGGGGCGAAATCTCACCGCAATACAATGCAAGAAAGGTACACGGGGTGACAACGAATCAGCAAGGCAGGAGGCCAGTCGAAGATAAATTTACACAAAAAGCATGAGCTAGACCGGCAGGTAAAGAGAGGTGTGCTACAAAAAGCTGAGCAGGACATTCAGGGTGAAACAGGAGAAAAGGTACAGGCAGTATGTACACAGGAAGGGAAAATCTAAAGGGCGGTGCACCACCTGGTGGCAAGTCCCAGATACTGCACGCAGCAGAGACAGCAGAGAGCCCCCAAATCCCAGGGACAGATCAGAACGGGGGGTACCTGGGGGCCGGAGTTCTCCAGGGGACACGGTGGCCATCGCCCGTCCCGAGGAGTCTACTGCATTGGGGGCGGACGGGGTGACCTTGTTTTCCTGGGGGGTTGGTTATGACATGTTTACAGAAAGGTAATAATGAAGTGGGAGGAGTTTCTCCTCCACCTTAGTTAAATAGACCTCACAGAGAAGGCATGTCACCTTTTACAGTTAGCTTATAATTAAAAAAAAGTATTAACTTTTTAAACTGCATAAACAAGTTATGCACAAATGACATCCTACTGCAGTACAACCACAGCATTACTCAAAAGCGGTGAAGACCTTCTCAAACAACACAGGAAGAAAGAGGCTTTGGGAATTTCCAGTCGGGCGTACCTTGGTGATGAGCGGGGTGGCGGGAGCTGGCCTCTTCCTCTGCGCTTGACCAGACAGGCGGTAACAGTAGTGAGGCTTGCAGTAAAACTTCCCTGTAAGAGAGAAGAGGGTTGATGGGGAATACCAACCAACAGAGCACGCTCTGGCCTACAGCCCGCCCCTAAGCCTGCAGGGAAGGGTTTCCATTGGTCCTAGGGGGTGGACAGCAATGCCTCATTGGCTTAAGTTGAGGAGGCTTTTTGAGAGACCCGAACGCTGCCTGGTTTTTGTCCGATTCCCAATTTGACGCGGGTGCTGGGTAACACAGGGCATGCCTGTTCCTACACGAGAGCCCATCGGCGGTCAGGGTAGTAACGGCCACCCCTTCCGGCACCAACAATGTGCTGGTTATGTGAGAAAACAAAAGAGGAGCTGATGGCAGCGCGGGACGGGCCACAGCGAATTCCAGCAGGGAGAAGCTGTACCCATCAGCCACACAACCCGCCCCAAAGGGCTCTCTCGTGGCATGCTTGTGACAAAGCAGCCCTGGACTGGTAACTGTACCCTTTCACACGCTAATTCTGAGCTTATGTATGAAATAAGTGCCATTGGAGGGATTTGAGTGGCTCTGCGGGTTGGGACCCGGTCCCCTGTTCAGAGGGATGCTACCATCGATGGCCCTTAAACAAGGCCATTAACCTCAGTTGCCCCAGTAGTGCAAGATAAATGATGACCCTGTGTTCCAACCCCTGCATTCCAACCCCAAAACTCACTCTCACTAAGGGTGTAGGGGGCCAAAACTTTACGTACACAAAGGCTAAAGACTCCACATGACCAAACATTTCCTTTGTGAAGTTAACCAATGTAGTTCATTTTCCATTTATAAATAATAGCTAAGATACTTTATTTCACCCTTTATGTGTGTAGCCTCAACAGTATTGTCAGTCTTAGGGAGGCAAAATGGGCTGTATGAAAACTACCTAATTTCATTTACATTTTATTCATTTAACAAACACTTTCATTAAAATCTTGCTTGCTTATTGGCCATGGGATTTGAACTGGTCACCTTCCGAACACAGACATAGTGATCTAACCTGCTGAGCCATACATCGCCCCCATGAGGACAAATATGGTACTACCATTGCTGCTGTCACCCAGGAATGCGGCCACACGTACCGTCCTCCAGGTCAAAGGCGTAGGACGACAGGCGCAGCGTGGTGCCACAGTAGTCGCATTTGAAGCAGCTGCGATGGAAGAACTTGCCCTCAGCGCTCAGACGCTCCATGACATAGACCCGCCGATGGCAGAAGTAGCAGACATCGCTGCCTCCTATGTTCTGTGGAAACTCCTTCCGCAGGGAGCACTGTGGGGCGGGGGGGGGGGCACAGCGTTAGAGGGGCAAACTGAGCCAGCACCCTCTTTGGATCAGGTATGGAATGACAAACTATTACCTTCACCCTTCCTGAAATTACTATATTTTAAGTCATCAGCTGCACTCAATACAAAATGAGAGCTGTGAATAAAGCATCAAATCCACAGTGGTGATGATAGGGTTAAAGCCGCAGGAACTCCCAATTAGTCCCCTCTGCTCCTACGGGTCCCCCTAAAGGACAAACAGCACTCAGCACAAAGCGGACCTCCATTAGTCACTTCAGTCTGTCGATGCGCTCCTCATGCCGCTACCATGGTCTCTTACCAAATCCTTCTTGTTAAGGAGGGTCTTGGGTTCCTCCTGATTCTGAAGCTGATTGACTAACTGCTGAGCCAATGAGCTCACTCCCCCTGTGTACATCTTAATATAGCTCTACCAACAGCAGGAGAAAGGACAGCAATCAGTGAACGGAAAGAGAGAAGAAACATCCATCAAAAGTACCGGAAACCCGAAAACTACAGAGCAAGCACGTCTAGGCATTCATGCTTGACGCAGGTGGGTTTTATTCAAACAAAACAAGCAGTGATGACAATTCCCATAATACACAGTAAGGCTCCGGCTGTGGTGAAAGCAAGGTGACATTACTGCACAACCAAGCCAAACGCCCGTGCGCTTGACGGATCAAGCGTGCTGAGCAGGACTGCCATCTAGACAGCTGTGAGGTGCCGCATTTCCTGAGCACCACTGCGAAAGCCCCCATGGGGTCACACACCAAAGCGTTGCGATGTTGCTCACAGAAGCTCCTACAAGAATATCAACCTCGAGGCAGAGAGTGCAAGCAGCAACCCGTCATTTCACAAGCCTCCTGACCCCAGGGATGGATCAGAAAGGTCAGGCCTTCACTGAGTATGTCTCGAGAGGACCGGGCCTGTTGCAGCTAACTAGTCACTAGCCCTAAGCGTTTCATTGGAGATGTGGGGTATCTATGAAAGTACAACGCACTCTAACAAAACTCGACCTGAACCAAACCCCCAAAAACGTGAACATCTGAAAACTCGGCGTAAAAACAAAACACAGAGCAGTATTTGGCTGTTAGTCTGTATGTACAGCAGGGAAAATAAGTAACTATCAAAAATAAGTTGTAAAAAGCTGTTAGAAAGGCCCAGTCAAGCAATAGAAAATCTACGGAAACAACTGAAGATCAGAGTTCAAATGAGAGGCCCCTGGAACCTTCAAGATATGAAGACAGTCTGTGTGGAAGAATGAGCCACAATCACACCTGAGCAATGTGTGCACAGGAGGCGCCCTGAAGCTGTCATTACCAACAAAGGCTTTTTATTAAATTAAATTTCAGTAAACGTGTTCAATACTTATTCCGTGTGTCATTTCACTTTATTACATATAATTTATGGACTTATTTGTTTTGATTTCTTTGTATGTGTAGATTACTTTGGTTGTTACCGACATTTGATGTAAATTTCATAATAGCGGCCCCATTAGAAAAATATTTATTGAGAAAAATGTTGATGTGTTCAATACTTATTTTCCCCACTGTATATTATTTGTAAGAGACATTTATAATAAGCTGTTTTATTCTGAGTATAGGCTACAACAGATGAAAATTAGCCCATAGAGCCAACTTGCTCATTTGGTCTCTTTCTGGTGATCAATAAGCACTGTTCCTGTCAAACAAACCAGCAAACAGTACCCACTGCAGCAGCATCACTTACAGTGACACATCTAAGTTACTCTTGCAGTAAGCTAGTAACGCCATAAATTTAAGAAACCAGTAGTAGCTGAAAATAACCTTTTTAAATTTTTTAAATTTCAGTTACAGCAAAACGAGACTTTATGATTTTGACTTTGAATGTCTTAGTTCACGAGACTGAGGTCAAAAATCAGTATACTCCACACTCTACAGTGAAACCCCAGGTCCTCAGGCATGGATGTCCCACAGTTAAGAAGCTGCCCTTTGATGATGAGTAATGAGCTCTACAGTATAACAGAGCCTGACCGGCAGTATGTCTGTGTGAGCCAGTATTAGCAGAGTGTAGCACACAGCCTGTTCTGTGGGGGGGGTGACAGGGCTAAGGTTAGTGTGCTATACCACAAAGGGCTTAGCATCAGGGGGCAAAGGTCATCACACCACATGCGAGGCCTGAGCCCAGCTACCTGTCGAAGGGCGTTCGAGGAGGACAGGACACGGGCAGAGCGCAGACCACGAGACAGGTGCCACCGCTCGATAAAGAAGCATGAAGGCTTTTTGAAAGGCTCCAGGTGAGAGAAGAGAGCACGGTCAGACAGGAAGTGAGGACCGAATCAGGCAAGTATACAAAAAGGAAAGAGTAGGTGGTTTACCAGATGTCCTGGCTAAGATTTCCTACTGATTTCCGCCCTTTCAAATCTGGCCTCCTAATCATCTCGCATATCTAACTGTTGAATTCTCTCCTGCCCCTTTCACCACCTTAGCTACTGCATGGTAAGCGTACTGGTGCAGAATGGCTGCCGTCGCATCACCCAGGTGGGGGGCTACAGAGTGGTGGGGGTTAAAGTGGCTCCCCATTGGTTCCTTTGGGTGTCTTAAAAAGCACTAAATAAATCCAACATTCATTCATTCATAACAGAAGCCAGCCTGAGCTCCCTCTTCAAGGCTTCAGCAAGGCCTCATTTTAATCTGACACTTGTTATATTGTTGTCTAATTGAAGCTAACATTGATATTCTCCATTTCTTCCCGTCTAAATGGCCTTGTGACAGATAGGGGGCGCTGTTTCACCTGTGGCTTCTCAGGCTTGTCTGTAAGCGCAGAGGCCAGACAGGCGGCCCTCTCCTTAACGCTAGGGATGTGTGCAGACACTTGGTCCTCTGAGGAGGGGACCTGCGACTCCTGCAGGAGAGAGGATGATTAGCTCAGTGCGGCAAAGGGCAGAGCCCAGAAGTTACAATGGTTAAGCCACACACTCCAGTCAGGCACAGCCAAAAGTCGGGGGTCACCATCCCAGACCAGGCTTTGCAGATGCAGGGAGAGAGGCTGGGGTCCAGTTAAATGAGACACTGGGGAGTGACATTCCATAATCAAGCAGGTCAAGCTTTTCAAGAGCAATTAACGTGTTTAATTAAAATAATTCACCTTATTGTGTTAATTAGTAAAGGATGTACGTAAGGCTGAACACCAAGACTGCCCTGTAGCAGGCGTGAGAGACCCCTGGTTAATATGTCATGTTACAGACTGCTCTATAGCAGGCGTGAGAGACCCCTGGTTAATATGTCATGTTACAGACTGCTCTATAGCAGGCATGAGAGACCCCTGGTCAGTACGTTATGTTACAGACTGCCCTGCACCAGGCATGAGAGACCCTCAGTTAGTACGTCATGTTACAGACTGCTCTATAGCAGGCGTGAGAGACCCCTGGTCAGTACGTCATATTACAGACTGCCCTGTACCAGGCATGAGAGACCCTCAGTTAGTACGTCATGTTACAGACTGATCTATAGCAGGCGTGAGAGACCCCTGGTCAGTAAATCATGTTACAGACTGCCCTGTACCAGGCGTGAGAGGCCCTCGGTTAGTACGTCATGTTACAGACTGCTCTATACCAGGCGTGAGACCCCCTCGGTTAGTACGTCATGTTACAGACTGCTCTATAGCAGGCGTGAGAGGGCCCAGATCAGTAAGTCATGTTACAGACTGCCCTGTACCAGGAATGAGACTCCCTCGGTCAGTACGTTATGTTACAGACTGCCCTGTACCAGTCATGAGAGATCCTCGGTTAGTACGTCATGTTACAGACTGCTCTATACCAAGCGTGAGGGGGCCCAGGTCAGTAAGTCATGTTACAGACTGCCCTGTACCAGGAATGAGACCCCGTCGGTCAGGACGTTATGTTACAGACTGCCCTGTACCAGGCATGAGAGACCCTCGGTTAGTACGTCATGTTACAGACTGCTCTATAGCAGGCATGAGAGGGCCCTGGTCAGTACGTCATGTTACAGACTGCTCTATACCAGGCGTGAGGGGGCCCAGGTCAGTGAGTCATGTTACAGACTGCCCTGTACCAGGAATGAGACCCCCTCGATCAGTACGTTATGTTACAAACTGCCCTATACCAGGCATGAGAGACCCTCGGTTAGTACGTCATGTTACAGACTGCTCTATAGTAGGCGTGAGAGACCCCTGGTCAGTACGTCATGTTACAGACTGCTCTATACCA